GATTGGGCGTGGTCACTGAGGAAACTAGTGACTGCAAACACCCCGAGGGCCCGCACCGGAGGGGATGCTCACGACTCGCTCAGTAGCAACGGCCTTTGTCTGGTCTTGCTGCTGGCAGTCGTGGCGTCCGCTCTGCTGCCATCAAGGATTTCCGTAAGGAACGGCATTTGTGGGGTTCGCCGAAACCTAACCCCACACCATTTTGAACCGAAGTACCAGCGGAGGCCCATGCAGTATCGGTGCGTCGCAACATCACCCGAGGGACTCGTCCAGCAAGTAGCCGTAAGCTACCTGCGGCACGGGTACTGGTTCTACGTCTCCGGTCGAATCAAGTCAGGCAAGCAGCCTCAATCAATCGACCGGAAACTGATTGACAAGTACAGAATCGCGATCAGCGAGCGCGAGCGCACGCGGCGCAAGCGACGTGGCGTCGCCAATATGCAGTACATCCGCTTCGGTAGCTGGTTTCTCCTCCTGGCGACCGAGGGTCATCACCCATTCAAGCAACAAGAGCGAAACCAGATCCGCGACTGCCGCAGGGTTCCTATTCGCTTTGAAGGGTACTCGATCAGCTACCGCCGTAGTGGCGTAACGCCAGCCGGCGGCGGGCAACCTAAGTGGCACGCCTCGGTGCGGATCGACAACGACACCTATCGCGACCTGAAAGCATTCTTTCTGGAGCGGGCGTGTCATCGGAGCGTCGAGAACTTAAGAATGGATTTCGCCCGAGTGCCGTATGCACGGTATGCGCCGGTCCGGCGCCAGTTATTGATGTTGCTTCGGTTAGTGAACCATGCGCGGGCACGGACCGGATTCGTTCCGGTACCCCACACGGCATTACGACTGCGTCGGCAGATCGTCACGCCGTTTGAAACAGCGCAGGTGCAATCCTCCAGAGGTCCAAACATCAAGGAGGTCGCCTGATGCCGGCGGCGATGTTTCTGTTCTACTTCTTGGTGGTCGGCATTGTGACAGCGGCTCATCCAGAGCAGGTAGCATGGTTCGTTACGTTGCTGTTGGCTGTCAGGTGGAAAAAGTGAAACTGCACGCCACTGCCGATCTCCCTAGACGCGAGGAATCATCAGCACGCGGCCCCGACGTGCAGTCGCATTGGCTAATGCGTCTTGCAGGCCCTCTGCGGTAGCAGACAGTCCGAAGAGGCATTCGGCTCCGGATCGGCAAAGTCGACCTCCCAGCCCCCTTCGGCCTCCCACTTCCAATACGAGCGGTCCGCCTTTTCGCCAATGTCCAAGGCTTCGTCTTCCGAGGCGGCTTCCACATAAATGGCATAGTGGACCGTCGATGAAGCCACGACGCGATAGATCGCTTTCGTGGGCGTCGTGCTTTGCTGCTCAGCGGGAATCGTGCTGTTCGACTGCTGCTCATGTCTTACGGTATTTGTTGGTTTGGCTTTCATGATTGTGTCCTCCTTGAAGTATTGTTTTATTGTACGTGAGGCCGTTCGTTCGACTTCACCTGATGATTGAGCACGCGAGGTCAAGGGGGAGCCTTTGCCCCAGGCGAAGCAGCAGGCCGTCCCCTGCAGGGGACGACGGCGGCCGGCCCTTGAGCTGCGTGGTAGAATCAGGGAATCGGGGAGAGAATCTAGTGCTTGGCGTACTCGCTACCACGTTAGTGATTCGCAGGGTGCGCAGCAGTCCGCCGTGGCGGACCGGAGCGGTAGCGTAGTCCGGAGCAGCCCGACCCGCAGGGGAACGCCCTTTGCCTTCAGCTATAAACCAAACGTTTCAAGTCTTTCTCCGGCCCCGATTGGCGCCGCGCAGCTCAAGACTGCCGAGTGAGACGACCTCGCAATGGCCCGCAGCAAGACAGTCCTGCCACATCACTCTTGCCGTAACGCTACACTTTTGATCCCTGAGCACTGAAGTGGCCGAAGTTTTTCACGACAATCAAATCCTGAGCAGTCGCCTGAGTGATGCGGATGCCAGAGCAGCTAGGCAGAAGGGTTGTCAAGAATAATCCTCGTTGGCATATCGAGCAAGTGTTTGAGTCGCAAAGTCTGTTCGGTCGAGAGGGTAGCAAAACGTCCTTTTTGAAACGCTCTAGCTGTGGCATGGTCGGCGGATGGAAGAGTCGAGATTTCCCCAGTCCTCTGGTGCTAAATCACTTGCAGCTGCCAACGTGGCGATGCCGGTGCTCATCAGCCGTGAGGGGCCAAACGCGGAGCGGCGGTTTGTCGAGTTCTTTACCGCTCGCATCCGCAATCGTGGCACGCGGGCCAACTATGCCCGCGCTGCTCGTGATTTCTTGGCATGGTGCGACGCGGGTGCCCTTTCGCTGCGGACCATCGGTCCAGTACATGTTGCCGCCTACGTCGAACGACTCGGCCAGACACATAGCGCGCCCACGGTCAAGCTGCGTTTGGCAGCGCTGCGGACGCTTTTCGACGACTTGGTAGTCGGACAAGTGATGCCGACGAACCCAGCCGCGTCGGTCCGAGGCCCACGCCACGTGGTGAAGAAGGGGAGCACGCCGGTGCTACGTGCCGACGAGGCGCGTCAACTCCTTGACGCGATCGATACCACGACGCTCACCGGCCTTCGCGATCGGGCGGTCATTGGCGTGATGGTCTACAGCTTCGCCCGCGTGTCAGCCGCGGTGGGCATGAACGTTGAAGACTACTTTCCCCAGGGTCGACGGATGTGGCTGCGGTTGCACGAGAAGGGAGGCAAGCGGCACGACGTCCCAGCGCACCATAACGCCGAGGCGTACCTCGACGCTTACCTGGAAGCCACAAGCATCAGCGACGAGCGGAAAGGCCCGCTGTTCCGTACCGTCTCGCCCCGTCGCGAAATGACCTTAACTCGAATGCACCGCTCGGACGTTTTGCGGATGATCAAGCGTCGAGCGCGGCAAGCTGGCTTGAAAACAGCCGTTTGTTGCCACACGTTCCGAGCGACGGGAATCACCGCTTACTTAGAAAATGGCGGGCTGCTGGAACACGCACAAAAGATCGCCGGCCACGAGTCGGTACGCACCACGAAGCTCTACGACCGCACGAGTGACGCGGTCAGTCTCGATGAGATTGAGCGGATTGTTATCTAGGTGCCGCTAGACACAGTAAACATGAGGCAGAGTGAAAATGCGCTCATGTCCAGCATCAACCTACTTCGGCGTCTACGACGAATGGCACGTAGATTTACGTAAGGCCTTTGAGGAGCTGGCGTTTCACCTCCTGCCGGGGTTCCATCATCCACTGGAATCGTTTGGGTCTTCGTTTGACCTGTCTCGGCTCGAATCGTCCGGCTCGATCGCCAACGGTGTGGGTTGCGATGCAGGCCAAGAGCTGTGTGTAGGCTTGGCCGCGGAGACGTGGGCAGCAGGCGAGCAACGGCCGGAAGGCTTCGAGCGTCTGCATCGCTCCCTTGAAGCTTATCGATCGCGGCTGAACTTCATGTTCACTCGCCGCCTGGGCCATGATGGTGCGGATCAGGTTGTAGGCGAGCACGTGCGTCCAGATCTCCTTGCGGACCAGCTCGGGCGTCTTGCAACGCAGCACCTCCATCTGCATGGTCGTCTTGACTGACCGCAGATCGAGTTCGGCGTTCCATCGTGCGCGATAGAGCTCTCCAATCGCTTCCTTGGGATACTCTTCGGGGTCGAGCAGCGTCGTTGCAACAACGATCGACTTGCTCCGAAACCCGGTCTGGGTGATGGTGACACGGCACTCGCGAACAGTGATTGAGTCGGGCATCGCGCGGTAGGTCGGCCAGTCGACCGAGCGTATTACAGTCGGCTTGGGCCACCTCACGATATGATCTCCCTTTCCCAGCCGTTCGCCCTTCCGGAAGTCCGCCTTTCGCATGATCTGCAGCTGCGACACGGAGTGGACGCCCTGTTTCTGGAGATCAAACAACTCCCGCCAGGTGCAGTACAAGCGATCGGCAAGCACCACGTCGCCTGGCTTGAAGAAGCTCATGAGCTGGCGGAACACGCTCAGTTCGCCTTGGCCCTTGCCGGCGTAGCGGCAGACGCCCAGGTCGAGGATCGCTCCGCAGGAGAGTGAGAAGATGGCCGCGATGCGGGCGATGGGGAAACCCAGCCCCGGCCGCTGGCGATCGTGCTGCGGGTACGCGGCTTGGTTCGCGGGCGTATCCGGCATGGAGACCGTGGAACCATCGAACAGGTAGACACTGTGGCCTCTCCAAAGCCACTCGCCAGGCGATTGCGCATCCAACTTACGCCCCACCAGCCTCGCTACGGTTGAGAAGAACTTCTCCGGGAGCCGCTTCCGCGCTTGGCAGTAGGCCCCCGTTTCGGCCGAGCACGCGTTCTCGCCATGAGCGACTCGGTGCGCTATCAAGCGAGCAACCGCCGAGCGGCAAGAGTGATCGGCGCTGAGCACCTGCCCAAGGAATACCCACAGCGTCACCAAGGGGGAGTAGACCCGCTCTTTCCAGGCCACTTCCGCAGTCGCTAGCCCCTGCGCGACGATCTCCTTTGAGAGCACGTTGGCGAACGGCAGATCGCCATCCTGCAAGAACTGCTGTCGCAGAAAGCTGATCTGGCGCCCGCAACGTACGCTGCTGTAACTTCGCATCGTTGGGCCTCCTTGCCTTGGATGGGTTGTGTGACAACTCTCATCTAGACAAGTGAGGCCCTTCTTCGTAGATCAATTCATAGCAACGGCTTACGAATAACTACGTGCCATTCGCGTTTACGGCCGACGCAGGCTAGCAGGAAAGCGAGATCCGTCAACAAGACGATATGCGGGCAGAAATGTCGGGGAAGATGCAACCGCACTGCTTAAGAGCGAGTCGCCGCCCCGCAATTCGTTGCTGCTGAGCTATCGACTATCCCTGTCACGATGTGCGTACTAGGCGGTTAGCAACCACTGTATCGCTGGCTGATTCCATGGGTGGAACCGCCGGCTCAAAGAAGTACCAATGATTGTCCCAGAACGTAGGCGGAACATCGCGGTGTATTACAACGACAGCGATATCACTCAAACGCGGGCACCTTAATATTTCGGGTGGCATTCATCTGTCGTCGAGGGATTCAGTGCAATCGTCGAAGGGGACATAATCCGGTGCGTACGAGGAGAAGAACTGGCCCAACACGTCGGTCAGGCAGTCGTGCGCGGCGATCTTCCCTTTGTGAAGCAAGCTGGCGATGTGGTCGATCGAGTCCAGCGACCAGGTGTCATCTGGCAGGTCAAAGTTCAGACGACGGTATCGTTCCCCCAGCAAGTATTGAAGCTGAAAGCTCGTGCCCTGGGATTGTGAAATTGATGCGACGTTAAAAACCCGTGGTCCCCACCAACCGATCCCGGCGCGGTCGTCGGGGGGAGCAAGGGAGTATCGGGGCTCGCCCGTTCCGATCGACAGCACCTGAATGTCCTGCGGCTCGAAGTGCGGATCGAACTCCCGGTCCGCGCACTCACGTATCTTTATCGCCTCCGTGTAGGCGACAAGACTTGGGTTGTTGGCCCAAAGCCCACCGTCGACAACAGCCCCGCTCTGATTCACCGTGGCGTGCGGAAAATAGGTGGGGGCAGCGGTCGTTGCCATGAGGATCTCGGCCAGCTTAAAGTGGCGGTCGCGTGTCAGCCCCGGCAAATGAGGCGTCTTGTAGACAACGGTCCGGCCTATTGTCACATCGACGGCAGGAACCAGCAGGCGACACTTGGTGACCTCCCCGACCAGTTGGTCGCCGAATACGGATTCGACCGCTTTCCTCAGCATCGTCGCGTTGTACTTGGTCTGCAGAAGGTCATCAAATCTCAGGCCCACTGCCCTTCGGGAAACCAAGCGTGCGATCGGATACGTCAGCTTGGACATGAGGGTCGGTGGCTTACAGTTGCCGCGAGCCGTGAAGACAGCCGGACCTTGCTGCCGATAGAACTCGACAATCCTAGCGGCCGGAATCCCTGTCGCCACAGCGGCGGCGATCAGACCGCCTGTGGACGTTCCCGCCACCAAGTCGAAGTAATCACCGGCGGGTCGATCCAACCGGGCTTCGATTTCAGCGAGCGCCGCGGCCGTAAATGCGCCGCGAATTCCGCCGCCGTCCAAACTAAGGATCTTGAACATGCTCTTACTCCTGGACCGGTTGGCTGGCATCCGGCAGTTCATCGTCGCCGCTTTCGGGGTGCTCGCCGCCGCCGTGCCACTCTCCCGTCGCGTGCCACACTTCGTAAAAAAACAGCCACGTCGCCAGCCAAGGAATGACCGTCGTGGCGATCACCTGCTCGTCAGACCAGTCCGTGCCTGGCCGGAAGACGCAAGGCTCGTCCGGACCATAGGTATGCGGAATCTTTGACTGGTCGTCGCGGGCCCGCAGCGGAGGGTCGAGGATAATGACTTTGGGGCTGGAGCCCACGCGGTAGCGAACTTCAAACAGGTAGCGGAGGCTGTTGGGCGTCGGCTGCATCGTGGCCGTCCCAACAAGCTCACCGCGGCGAACGACATACTTGAAATCTGGACAGATAAGCCGGATCCGGGCCGCCTGCTCGCCGAGCCCAAAGACACGGCGGCGAAACTTAGTTCCCGAAGAATTCATTGGCTGGCACCGTATGAGTGGATGCGGCGGCCGACGGAGCCAAGATCACAGGACCGGACTGGAATCCAAGGCCTCTTGCCCGTCGCTTTGCTTCGAGTCGCGCCGCGTACTTTTCAACCGCGGGTCGGGCTCGGTCGCCGAACATCGCTTCGAGAGCCTCGGCGATCCTGTCCCAGCCTCGCACGTGTACCAATACTTCCATTTCCTGGCAGAACTGGCTAACAAAACGTCGGAACCGGCCATAGGAGCGAGGGGTCCAGTGGCGGCCCAAATTTTCCGTGGGGTCGACTGGGTTAGGTACCACCAAGATGCCGTCGGTGGTGTCGATCTCGCGCTGAATGCGGGCCAGCACGTTCAAGAGCGCATCCGTGCACAGCGGCTCGCCGTTGTAGTGCTTGGCGGTCAGCGTAGTGAGCGCGATCGACTTGGGGCCATCGCCATTGCCCTCGAAGAACAAGTCTCGTCGACGCTTGATGAGCTGGACTGTCCGCTGCAGCGGCGTGATTTCGCCGGCCCGCCGAGCCGGGGGCAACGGCTCGACGTCGGCGCGAGCGCGGTACTGCTCCACGCTGGCCGACTTCGTGACTGGCGTTCTGCCGTAGAACCAATCCGCGTAGCCGAAGGGATCGGTGAAGAGCCACCGGCGCTGCTCCCGGTCAGGTATCAGCAGCTTGTTGGCGTCGAGGTCATGGGGAATCGCTGGGACGATGTCCAGATGGAACTGCCCCGCATAGTTGAGCTCAATACACCGCTCCTTGCGTCGCATCAGTTTTCGGTATGTGCCGTGTTGCGCGAGCCGATTGGCCACCAGGTTGTAGACCACCATGGGGTCGGCGTAGCGGTAACGGTTCGTGGCGAGGATGCACAGGAGGTCGATGTCGAATTCCTCGCGCTGCCAGGGCCGGACTACCGTACCCAATAGCGTCGAACCTTGGTACTTGATCTCGGGGCTTAGCACAAACAGCTCGGTTTCTGGGGCCCCGAGCCAGTTCCCGGCCGCGGTGTATTTCTGTTCGGCATCTCGCCACAAGCTGGGAGTTGGCTGGAGCGCTTCGCAAAGCAATTCCAGCACTTGGTCAAGCTCCACATTGGCTGAAGCTTCAATTGTTCTTGGCATGTCGTGCCTCTTTTCGTTCGGAATCAGGGTATTAGGGGGCGATTTGGTATGGCAACAGTCCGTCCCTATTGTTCCCTGCCGACCAGCGGCGAGATTTTGCCGCGCCATTCGGCAAATGTTCCGAAGAGTTCGGCATTGGTAGAATAGAGCCATGATGGCGCCCAGACGCGGGTGCGAAGTGCGCGGCCGGAGGCCTGGATTTTGGATGAGATCCCTGAATTATCCGATGAGCAATGGACCGAGCTGGTTGAACGGCTGGCTCTGTACGCAGACGCCAAGCTGCGGAAGCTCACTTGGCGTGGCGTGGCGTACTCCCGAGGAGGCCAAGTGCTGGGGGCGGCCGGCGGCGCCGACTTGGCGGCGGAAGCGATCGAGAGCCTATTGGATGGCACTCGCAAGTGGAATGAACGAGGGGAAGGAGGCTTCCCCGACTTGCTGCAATTCCTTATGGACGTGGTCGACAGCAAGGTGAGCCACCTAGTTGAGTGTGTGGAGAATCGGCATGCCCGACGGATGGGCAGCGGAGACCATAAACAGGAGCCCGCCTATAACCTGCAAGACCGGGCGGACACGCCCGACACGGTCGTCGCTGACGCAGAATGGAGAACGAAGGTCCGCCAGTCTGTTATGACGGAACTCAACGGCGATGAAATGGCCGCAGCACTCTTTGACTGCTATGAAGCAGACCTAACGAAGCCACAGGAGATTGCCGAGTTACTTGAAGTAGACGTTCTGTCGGTGAACAACGCAAGAAAGCGGTTAGCGCGAGCGGCCGACAGGGCGTTCCAGAAGCTCGGGAGGATGAAGTGATGAACAATGTCGATCGTTATGAAGACCGGGTGTGGGACCTCTTTTTCGACGACCTAAGCGCCGACGTCCTTACGATGTCGCGAGAGGAAGTTCAAACGGAACTTAAAAGGCGTCGCATCGACGTCAGCCGCGCTGTCAGTAGAGTGCAACGGGCGGTCGCGGCCAGAACTGCTAGAGCCGAGCTGGCTGCTGCACGTCTGAAACGAGCAAGCGTTGTTGAGCGAATCGCCAAGGTTGTGGCGCCCGAGATCAAGCAGCTGCGACAAACGATCGGCGACATGATTGCAAACCGACTTCATGGATCGGCGCAGGCGGCATACTTCCGGAAGCTCCGGCAGGCGGCCGGAGACGACGACCTGCGAGCGTTGATGGACGACATTGAACGATTAGACGCCCTGAGCCGAGAAGACAATGAAGGCACCGACACCGAATAGCGTGGGCGCGGTGGCGGCGGCCACGCGTCTATGGAAACTCTACGGCTTTGCGTCCAGCGATGAGCTGGTCTTGGAAGATCTGGCATTCGCCTTGGGCGTCGTTGTCATTGAGGGCGGACTCGACTCGGCCGATGCCTGGCTGCTCCGCAAAGGCGAGAAGGGGATTATTCGGGTCAGTGACACAATTCCAGAGCTGGGAAGAAAACGGTTTGCGGTAGCACACGAATTGGGTCATTGGTGCTTACACAAGCTGGTGTCCCAACTGTTGTCGTGCACGTCTGAAGACATGGTGGCGAGGTACAAGGCCAGCCCGACGGAAGTGGAGGCAAATCTATTCGCCGCGGAGTTGCTCATGCCGGAGCATCTATTCAAGCCGCTGCTGGGCACGTCTCGGCCCACCGCGAAGTTCGTGAATGACTTGGCTGATCGTTTTGGAACCACGAGGATGTCGACCGCGTTTCGCATCGCCGACGTGACGAGCGATTACTTCGCGATGGTCATCTCCAAGGAGGGCCGGATAAAGTGGTGGCAAGCAAGTGCCCCTCTCCGAGAACTGGTCTGGTTCAATTCGGGTGACCCGGTGCCACGCAACAGCGTTGCTGCGGGGTTCTTCGATGGCAAATTGTTACCATCGGCACCACAGCAGGTCGACCTCGAAGAGTGGATTGGTGAAAACCGAGGGCTTGATGCGGAGTATTTTTATGAGGACGTGATTCCCATGCCCTCGTACGGTCAGACGCTAAGTCTATTGTGGCTTGAGTGATATATGAGTATTAGCCCTACGGTCTGTCGACCGCTGCTCACTTGGATGAAACTCACTGAGGGTTTGAGTGCAGGCAACGTGGCATTCGCTTTATATGGGCTGAGCCCTTCTCAAATGGCTTCTCTGAAATGCGCAGGATTCGCTCTTGTTATTTAGCGTGCTATTAGCATGTGACTTGGTACGGCCGTAGGTTGTCCTGTCGACGGTCAAGAGCTTCAAAAACCTGCACAGGCCCGACGCTTCGATGCTGATAGCCGCAAACCGCGATTCCTACGGTTTTGCAAGCAGCCCAATTGGGTTAATGGGAGAGGCCTGCGATGGCGAATTCTAAAACCTTCGCAGAACCTCCTCCGCCCGAGAGTCGAGTAACGACTCGGGCAAGATGCATCAGAACTCGGTCGCCGCATTCGCCAGTTGCTCGGCAGCGACGCCAAAGATCCAGCTATGCGCCAAGTCGCTGACTTTCGCCACGAGCGGTAGGTCGTCACGGCCGAAGCTGCCCGAGTCCTTCCACTCCTCGCCTTCCTTGTAGAGTCGGCTGAGCGTGACGTTGTGCCGTGGGCCGTTCTGGGTATCGTTCTCCCAGATCGCCGCGCGGACTCGGCCAACACGGACTTCGTGAACCGGACGCATCTTCTTCGCTTGAGTAGCCATCGTAAAACTCTCCTTGGTAAAGGAACAGGAAACCATCACGGAGCCGCAACACACGACACCGCGAACACACCACACAACTCGTCGCGATTATCACGCGGCGAGTGCCAAGAGCGACGCCGCCTTTGCGTCAATCTCGACCCGGTCGCCCGCGTAGCGGACTTCTTGGGCGAGGCGCGTGAGCGCATCGACCAGCGAGAAGATCGAGAACCGCCCGCTCTGCTGCGCCAGTTCGGTCGCCTTGGCCGCGAGGCCGCGGGGAATTCCTTCGCTGGCGAGCGTCTTCAAAACATCATCGGCTGCGGAGCCGAGCGTCTGTTGCATGGCGCCGGAGATCACCTTCACGAAGCCGTCGCGACGCTCGTCACGTTTGGCGACCAGCCGCTCGATAAGCCGACGGATCTCCGAAAGCCCGTCGCCCACTTTGGCGGTGTGCTTGCGGGTGAACTCGACGACCTCGACCGCGTCCCACACGATATGGTTCTGGCACACGGCCTGGAACCAGAACGTCTGGATGCCCAAGGACCGTCTGCCAACTTCCGAGTTCCACACAAAGAAACCCGGTGCGAAGGCCTCGCCCTCGATCTCAATCCACCCGGTAGGGTCAATCAAGAACGCGAACAGGTCCTGCTCGCCGCAGTAGAGGCCGGTCGCACCGTTCATGCCCACTTGCGGGGGCTCGAAGTCGCTCGCGAACTCACTAACAACTGACAACAGGTCGTCGTTCCAGAGCCGCGTGTAGCTGACTCCATGCAGCGAACGAATCGACTTGCCGGTGGCGAGCAGCTGGAGCGGCTTCTCGCTGGCGGGAAGCGTCTCCCGCAGCGCTTGACTCGCCGTCTCTGCCGAGAGGCGATTGATTGTCTCCTTGCTCACGCCGGCAAGCCGGCAGAGCTGGGAGAACGACCAGTCGCTGAGGCGATGGATGTCGTCGTCCAGGGCGACGGTCACCTCGCCGCCGACCACCTGCGGTCGCAGCGTTTGCGGCGGTTGCCAGTAGTCGGTCGAGAATCGCTTTTCTTGGCCACAGTGGTCGCGCAGCTCGACGAGCGAGCTGAAGCGTTCGTCGGGAGACCGCTCGAACAATTGCTGGGAAGCTCGGGTAAGGGTAGCCATCGTGATTACTCCAGGAAAGAATGGAAGGGAAAGAAACAGCCGACACAGGGCTGAGCCGAACGCTGCGGTGACAGGCAACGAACGACTCAACCCCGGGTCGGCTGCTGGAGTAAGCAATGCTGATGGAGGAGTCGGGACGCACGAACTCGCACGAAATACGCACTCAACAAAACCTGAGTAGTTACGCCGCCGCCTCCTCCGTGCGCAGCTCGGTGGCTCGTGGGTGAACGAGCCAGGAGCGTCGCAAGGGTCAGGCGACTAGGGTCCCATCTATTCGAAGCGAGAAGGAAGAAAGAGCGTGGGCTTTGGCCGGTCAGAAAGGCTGCCTGCCAAGTTCCATACCACTCTTATGCCGGAATGTCACGCGGGTGTGCTGTTAGAAACAAGAAAAGGTTGGTTCATCGACACGGAACTGGTCGTAGTCCGGCAGGATCGCCCCTGAGTCGAGCGTCGACTCGGTTAGCAGCCACAAGGCCGTCCGCCGCTCTTGGTGGCTGATAAGCCAGCGGATCGCCTCCGCTTTTTCGCACGGCAGCAGCGCCCAGTAACAGGCTTCGCTACCAGCACGCATCGAAAAACAGCGGCGTAACAGAAATAAGGAGGTGTGGCGATGCTCGGGAGCGATTAACTCGACACCCTCGACCGATACCACGACAAGATAGCAATCGTTCATGCGTTAGACGTACCACGCCGCGCTAGCCAATCGCAAGCTTCTGCGTAGCCGGCTGCTTCGCCACACAGAAGGCGCATTGGAAACGACAAACAGGCGGAGCATTCGCTCCGTGGCTTCGTCACTCGTTCGCCGCCGCATCACCGGGGAGTGCGTCTGACTTTGGCTGGGAAGCATCGTCCTCGTCCGATTCGCCTGTCACTGAGTCAACTGCCACTGAGTCGAGCGTCAGCGTGCCATTGATATAGTAGGCAATCGATTTGCCATCGGGGCTGATCCGGACCTCCTCGACCGCGTGTTGCCCCGGTGGCTCGACTTGGCGGATCTTCGACCCGTCGGTAGCGGACCAGAGGGTCACTTCACCGCTGGGGGCGCCGATCGCCAGAACCCCGTCGGCCGTCATGTCGAAGGTCGTCAAGAGCGGATGGGGAGAGCGGCCCGAGGACTCCTTGAACCACCAACCGACGGGGCCTTTCGGCGAATCGCCATCCTCCGCATCGGCGTCGATTCGCATCGTCGGTTTCCATCCTAGATTGATCTGTTTGGTGAATTCACG